GCTGCCAGCTGACCTTGGCCCGGAGAAGTGTTAAAGTCCATCTCCTCCATTTCGCTTTTCCGCTCCAAAAGAGTGGCGGTGCACTGGCACAGCTGCCCAGGGAGGTGGTGGAGTCACTGTCCCCAGAGGTGTTCAGAACCGTGGGGATGTGGCACTGAGGGATGTGGTCAGTGGGCACGGCAGGGGTGAGTCAGCAGTCGGACTAGACGATCTTAGGGATCTTTTCCAACAAGCCCTCCCTGCCCCACTAATGCTCATTTCTTTGACTTGTTGACTTGCCCTCTGCAAATTCTTTGCGCAGCGACGTGACAAATTAAACCCCTTATTAACTAATTAAGCTATTTCTCCAACCAGGCAGGAAGGCGAGAGGAGGTTGTTATTCTTTCTATTTTTAAATACCTGCAAGAGGCACACGTGTCTGAGGTGCGTGGTGGACGGCTCCAGCTGGGCTGTACCATTGCAGCTTGACACCTCTACAACAAACCCCATCAGGGCTGGAACTTGCTTGTTTTTGTTTAGTTTGCACATCTGGGAGCAATTTCAGTGTCCGGAAAGGCTTCCTGAACCTCCAGATGTTGAAGAACCACAGAGATGTGGCACTGAGAGATATGTGGTTAGTAGGCATGGTGGGGATGGGTCGACAGTTGGACTGGATGACCTTAGAGATCTTTTCAGCCTTGATTCTATGATTCCTTAATGGACCTTTAAGCTTGGGGCGGGCACAGAGCTCAATACTGCAGCCTACAAGCACACGTTTGCTTTGAAGTTGGTGAAGTTTTCTGCCGTTTTAGCAAAATCAGAGCTGAGCAGCAACCTGCCCTATGCCAGGGATGTCCTCTTCTGGCCTCCTTGCAGCTCCATCATCCCTCTTGCTTCTGAGCATGGCACCATACACGGACCCGAATGCAGGCAGGTGTGACCCTCCCTGGGTCTGTGGGCTGGAAGGGGCTTGGAGCTGTAATGGTCACGCTTGCAGAGGGTTTGGGGTGAGTGCTGTAGTGAGAGTGCCTGCAGAGTGTGCTGTGGCTTCAGGGATGCTGTGTGGCTGGGAGCTGGGATGGAGGGCTTTGTGGTTTTCCCATGGAAAGTCCCTAGCTGGTGGCATGGTGGAAGGGTTCTTGGGAGAACGCAGCACAGCTGGTGCAGCCTTGGGTGTAGAGAGCATCATGCATTTATCCTGGTCTGCACAGATAGGAGGCGTGAGGGCAAAGGGAGCTCAAAGGCTCCTTGGGCAGAAAGATGGCTGCAGGCACACCTGGGGAACCCCAGAAATGCTTTGCTGTGCTGTTTTCAGTGAAGTGACTGACGGGGATTGAGGGAGGAGGATGGATATGGGTGGGGAGTGGATTTAGGAAGTGATTTCATCATTGGTTAAATTTTCTATGTGCTGAGACTTTGCAGAGTTTGGGGAAAGAGCAGCGAAAGGATGTCACCAAAAGATCCCATTGTCAGCTGTGGCTGAAGGGAAAAGAGATGGATCTTGTCAGGTCCTTGGCCATGCAAAGCCACACTGGAGAACGTGGGGCAGGGACAGCAAATCCCACCTCGTCCGTGCCTGAAAATCTTTCCCCTGTCTAATGCATTACTGCATGCTTATTCCTATAACAGATAACTGAGTCAGCGGGAGAAAACCAAATTCAATTTATGTCTCAGTCCAAGCAAATAGCAAAGGCTGCCAAATCCGACAATAAAAAAAAAAACAACACAGTGATCTCAGATGTTTCCCTCCTCTATATTAAGAGGGAGCAGCACAGCGTTTGGCTGAGGTGCCGATACGGGGGGGACAGGAGCATGCAGGAGCCAGCCTTGTGCAGCACTCTGCAGGGTGTGCTGAGGGGTGGAGGCCTGGGAAAGAACACCTCTGCACTGCTCCCAGCCCAGCTGCAGGTGCACCATGGCACCAAAAGGCGTTCTGCTGTGCAGTGGCACGGAGCTGATGTCCCCACCATGTGCCTGTCCTGACATAGGTGATGCTGAACCTCTCCGGGTTCCCAGCAGTGGTAATAGATGGCTGAGAGGGATTAAAGGAAAGCTACGTAGGCACTTTGATTAACTGCTTTCCTAGAAGAAGGCATTTAGTGAGCACAACTGAGCTATAAATACCCTATAAATTTGCTCTAATACATGAAACAAAATAGTTGACTTTGAGCTGGAATGAAGTTTTATTGTTTTCTCTGTTCATCACTGAGCTGTGAAATTCCAACTTTGTAGGGTGTGCATTTGGTGTGTGCTGGGTCCATGTAGAGAGCAGGGGAATAAGGTGCCAGGGCCAGCTTTCCTTTAGAGGTATGCTTCATTCTCTTATTTGCTTTTTGGCCATACGAACCACAGAACAGCAAAAGGGAAAGGAAGGAAACATTATTCCTGGTCTGGCCTAGGAACAGTTTGGTCTTGTTATAATCTGATTTCACCTGTTACTAATTTTCCTCTGGTTGTGAGGGCTTGGAATTATTTGTTTGATAAATGAAGAGGGAAGAAGAGCTGTTGGATGTTGCTCACTGTGAGGTAATGATGGTGAGGGCACTCCAGGTGACCTGAGTGGTGCTGGAGGTGGGAGAAAACTCTGACCCCATGCAGTGCCCTATGGGGTTCAGAATGGGGCAGAGGGCATTTCCATTGCCTCCCATCCCTGCAGTATGAGTGGGGCTCCTTACTCCTTTATGGAGCTGTGCTAGGGAAATGGGAAAGCACAGGTGTATGGGGAATTCCCAACACGATGCCAAGTCCCCACCCTACAAATCAGTATGCGTCCTCCCACTGCTATCCTTCTTAGTGTAGTCCCATTGCTGTGACAAATAGTTTGGGTGATGTGAGCTGCTGAAAAGAAATGACTTTATTAGGCGAAAACAGCCTGTGAACCTCCTGGAACAAGCAGACTGTTTAAGTGACTCCAGATTGCACGGGAAGGCGGCTGCTCCCCTAAATCCCACAGCGTGCCTCAGCCGGGCTGCAGCATTGCATGGCACAGAGCATCGCCCTCCACGGCACAGCTACTGCCCGGCTTTGGAGCGAGTGTGAATAAATCCTCAGCGCCAGAGCTGCTTTAGCATGCCTCTAATTGGAGCCATAAAGTTAAACCTAGCCACTTAGGGTTCTGCTGGGAACTGGGGCTTCCATTTGCAGGCTCCCCTGTGCAGCTAAAGGGCACCACGCTTGCTAATAGGTGTTAAATTGGAGCATCACTTTTTAATAAGCCTCCTAATGGCATGATGCAGCTCCTTGGCAGCTCTGGGCTGCCTCCATTACGGTACCCACATGCTGGGGTGAGTGATGGAAGGCGGAGGTGGTGCCAGGTACCAGGAGGTTGGAGATGCACAGAGCCTAGGGATGCACCCAGCTCCTGTGCTCCCCTGTGAACTCCATCATCTTCATTGTCAGGACTGCCCCTTCCATCAGACCAACCTCATCATCGGGACCATCCTCTTTGTGATGGTGCTGTTGAGGTGTCACATCAAGGGTGATGCTCCTCATGTGTGCATCACCATCCCTGCTCTTGGGCTGTCAGAGCAATTCCAGATTTTGCCTTTCTCCTGCTTGAGACTGAGCAGGATTTGAAGTGGTGCCCGGCTGAGCTCAGCCCTGTCCCTGGCTGCGGGAGGAGATGCCTTGGGGATGATGCTGCTGAGCCCCATGGGACAGGCGATGGGTCCAAGTGCCTGCCTGACTGCTGCTATTTCTGCACAGTATTTCTGCTTTGCTGTGCATGATAAGCTGCATCTGGGATGACTCAGACTGGAGAAGATGAGGATCAGGGGAGACCTTATCGCTCTCTACAACTCCCTGAAAGGAGGTTGTGGCCAGGTTGGGGACTTCTTCTCCCAGGTAGCAGTGATAGGATGAGAAGGAATGGCTTCAAGTTGCTCCAAGGGAGGTTCAGATTTGATATTAGGAAGAAATTCTTCTCAGAACGAGTGGTGAGGCATTGCAACAGCCTGCCCAGGGAGGTAGTGGAGTCACTGTTGCTGGAGGTGCTCAAGGAAAGGGCAGCTGTAACACTTAGGGATGTGGTTTAGTGGGCAATGTTGGTGGTAGGTGGGCGGCTGGATTAGATAATCTTAGAGATCATTTCCAACCTCAAGTGATTGTATGATTACCAAAAAGTGAAGCCTATCTGTCCCCCCCCATTCCAAAGGGGTTCCTCTGATCCTGGTTGCTAACCCATAAATGACAGTGGGGATGTGACTGAGAACTGTCCTGGCAAACGCAACTGGCTGGATCCAGGAGGGAAGTTTCCAGGCTGCTTTTGCAGAAAGGGCTGGGTTCCCAAGGAACAGGCTTTATTTTTATGTAATCCCTCTGCTTTGAGGAGTTGGAGGGGGTTTGTTGTTAGTAATTCAGAGGAGGGTGTCTAGAAGTGCTGTGCTGGCCTGAAGATGAGTCTGCCCTCAGCTTTAACAAGAAACACGCACAGGCACAGAGCATTTGCTCAAACTCTGCTCCCTTCCTAGGGATGGGACAGGGCAGGACTCAGGATGGGATTTGTCACCTCCAGACCAGCAAATCAGAGGCCAAAGCAGTGGAAGGGAATGGATGCAATTTTTGTCAGCTCCATCCGCGCCGGCGAATGCAGATCATGAATTACACACCCGCCAGATGACAGGCTGACATTTTAGCTCCAAACATTCTTCTATAATTAGAGAATCTAATGCAATACAGGGAATGGCTCCATTTTACACACACATTATCGTAATGCCTTTAAATAAGATAATTGATTATGCCTCTGCATAAGAAAGTAAAATATTCGGTGTAATTAAAACCGACATTCAGATTTTGGCATGCTGACAGGTGAGGCCATGTGTCATTTCATAAATCCTTAAAGTGATATTCACACCCACATTCGAGTTTCTGAAGTTTAGGGAAAAGAAAAGAAATCCTCAGTGCTGAGTTGTGGGTTTTTTTTGTTTGTTTGTTTTAATCCTGAGTTCAAATGTGTTTTGGAAAGAGGGATTTCTTTTTATTTTTTTATTTTTTCCTTCTGCTCTCATTTGTCTTCATTTCAGCCTCATATCATCAGCTGACAAAGCCCTGCAGTCATGCTGCTGTGAGCAGGGATGCCCAATCCTCTGAGGAGATGCAGGTTTCAGCACCAAACCTCTGCCTGATCCTGATGAGCTCTCATGGAGCACAGACCTTCGTGTTGGAGGTGGGAGAGCACCTTGTGGTGCACTAGCTGCCAAAGCCCTGACATCCCAATGAGGGATGGATGAGAAACCCCATCCTCGTGTCATGCGTGAAGGCATGGGCCAGCCGAGAGTGGGGTGACATGGGGATGGGGCCCTGGGGACTGCTGCCACTTGGGTTAAGATGCTCCTGTTCCTTCTTTATAAAGCATTTATGCCAAGGAGTGAGGATTTGTTGCTTCTCCCATCCATTTCTGTGGCTGGTGGTGCCTTGTGAATTGTACTTCTGAGACAACCAGGTGCCCAGAACTGCTCAGGACCATTTGTGAAACCTATGCTGCTGGGACTCCATCCTGCTGCTAATGGAGAAGGTTTGTTAGACGAATCCCCAGCACAGTGGGGTCATGCCTCCTGCAGTCACTGGGTTGGTGGTAGGGCCAGAGGTTGGGATTCTCAGTTGTGAGAAATCCTCTAAGTCAAGGCTGATGTTAACCTGCTGCTTCAATATTTGCCAACCGCTGCATCTTGAAACTTCGTAAACAGAGCCTTGAATACTGTCAGCATATTTAAATCTATCCTTATTGTCCCATAGCATGTTTCTGGTGAGATTTGGGCAAGATCTGGGCAAAGAACCTCTGTTCTTTCTGCTTTGCATCCATCCCTGTCCTCTTTGAAGGTGACATGCTGCTGTACCAAGGCTGTGAACGTTTAAACTGACAGCTCCCAGCCTCAGAGCTGGCTGTAGAAGCAGAATCCAGCTTCCTCCATACCACTGCATCTTGACTAGCCTGGACAGGGTGAGGGCAGGGGTTGCCCATAAGCACCACATTGGAGAACCCTCCCTGGAAGGATGAGAGGTAAGAGGAGGTGCTTCCTCATCTCCATCCTCATTCATATTGCCATTCCCATCCTACTCCTACCTCCATCACCATCTATAACCCCAGCCCCTTCCCCATCTATAACCTTACCTCCCTCCCCATCCTCAGCTTTATTCCCATCCGTAACTTCATCTCCTTTCCCATCCCTATTCTCACCCATAACCGCATTCCTATCCCCAACCCCATTTCTACCTATATCTCCCCAACTCTGTTCTCATTCCCATCCTTATCCATAACCCCATCTTACCCCTATCCCTTTCAATCCCCTTTGTGCAGGACTCTGATGAAGGCAGGAGGAGGAGGAGCTCCGCTGCCATTAGCGATGCGCTCTGCTTTCTCCCCGCATTCAGGCCATTATTCCAGGCTCACAGGGCTGTGGTTGGCAGTGCGGGCGCCGGGCCCCGTAGGGATGCAGGCCCAGCAGCCAGCCCTCGTGTCTTCCTCCGTTCTTAAGTGGGCTGGTAAAGGAAACCACCCCCCTGTGCCTGGAGAGCAGAGCCATGTTAAGCCGGCTTGTTTAAAAGCACTGCAGCTTTCTTTTGGCACTGTGACAAGCGGGGACGATGGCAAAAGGTCTCTTTTCTCGCTGCCCCATCATTTCTTATTGTGTGATGCTAACAGGGCAGCGCATCGGTGCAGCCCTCCCCACGTACCCAGCTCCTCCAGGTCAATCATATGCATAAGACCCTGGTGATGGCATCCCGCTGGCAAGTGCCACTTCCCCAGCTCAGCTGCTGTCCCCCGGTGCTGTCTCACGTTTGGCACCTGTGCTCCCCATTTCCTCCACCCGCGCCCGCTCCTCACCCTCGCACACCCCCAGTGATGATGCAGCGCGCGGAGGAGCAGCATTAGTCACCGTTCCGTAGGAAGAAGGCTGTGAGCAGAGGAGGAGGAGAAGTGCAGCCACAGTGCGGAGCCAGCAACCATCCCTCTACACGTGGTTGAGGCTGAAATAATGGCACTGGGCTCAGGCAGTGCCCTGGAGCTGGGCAGGTGGGAGAATCCAGCTAGGATGACCCAGAGAGGGGGGGAAGCAGTGTGGAAGCACAGGCAGCAGAGCTGCTGAAATACTTCCCCTGGGATGGAGCTGTGGATTTTTTCAGCATCCTTTCTTCAGTAGATGGAGCCTGTTGGGGAGAGAGTGGCTGAAGGAGATGGGCTGCCCACAGGACAGTGAGATGCCTTGGGGGTCTGTGGAGAGGTCTCCGCAGAGGTGTCTCCTGGCGATGTTCCCAAAGCCATTCTCTGCCTGGCCCAGGGCCACTGCACGTTCCTGGGTGAGAAACATGAAGCTCAGCCCTGAGGTGAGCTCTGCTTAACAGCCACTTCCCTACTTGCAGCTTCGAAGTCCTGCAGAGTGTGTGGGCAGCAGACTGGAGGAGAGATCAACCATAGAACACCATCTCCTTCCTTGCAAATAAGCCTCAGTCCAGCCAGCAGCAAAGCAGCAGCTGCCCTATTTCCAGGGCTGGTGGGAATGCAAAGCCCTCTCCTCCTCATATTCATCGTTTTCAGCTGCAGATTCTGCTGTAGCATCCAACTGCATCTAAGTCAGGACTGTGCCATGCAAACGGATGGGACTCAGAGAGCATCCCTGCACCGTGAACTGCTGCCAGGACCTGCTCTGTCTTTTAATGACACACATGTCCATGCGTCTGCATCTAAGCCTGTTCTTGACTTGCCCAATACACACAGGGATGCTGTGCTCCATGCTTTATGTATGTTAACTTTTTATTGTATCCAGACCCTCTTCCATCACATGCATCATCAGGTTGCAAATTGCTTTCCCCGTGGTGGGCTGGAATGTGAAAACCATTGGGCTACCAATGTACCCATGGACCCTGGGACAGCAATGCACTGGTGGAGTGTTAATGAATCACAACATCACTTATGCATTCACTTCTTTGAAATGCAAAGCATTCCCTTGATATTTCAGCATTTTCCACCCGGTCCAAAGCAAAACCCAATAGGTAGAGAACAGTAGAGAGCTGCACAAGGTAACACTTCCACCTTGTGTCTGGTACAACGATTGCATCAGCATTAATTACAATGGAACTTGCTGCCCTTTAAAGCAATTCAGCACATGCTGTATCCTCAGCTTTCCTGCTTCTGATCGGCTCTGCACTGAACTGCTTCTTTGCATGCATTCAAAACAGTTTGTAATTAACAATCACATTGTTTTCCTTTGAACATCAACAGAGATACAGAAAACAGAGATTGAGAGCTGAGATGTTGGTACAACTGGGTATTATTCTGCTTTCATGAAATGACTTTTCCTATTTTGCTGCAAATTTAGTGCTGATGAGAAGCTGGGCCAGTGTGCAAGCAGCCGGGAGGCTTTGCTCACCAGCTCATGGACAAAATTCTCTCCTATGGCTATGGGGAAGCAGGAAATTTGAGCTTGGATGCCCTGTTACCTTTGCCCATGCTGAATGCATTCTGGACACCACTGCCCCATTCACAAAATAAACTCAGCAGAAAAACCTGCAGAGAAGGAAAAGCAAGACTGTGCAGGCTCCTGAGCTACGCAGCGTGTTGGAGCAGAGCGGCTGCGTTTGAAGCCTTGGCTCTGTGAACAAGAAGCAGATTACAAACTTCTTCAGTTCTGGTGCAGAGCTTGGATGGGAGGATTGCTCCCTCCATCTGTTCTTCACATAGGCAATCTGCCTTCAAAAGCCATCGCTGCTTAAGTATGGAGGAAGCGTAAATGCAGGAGCACCTGAATATTGTTTAACAGATGGGGACACACATTTTTCAGGCAGAGATTTCCTTTCCATTGCCCCACTTATTTCAGAGGTGTTTTTCAGGACCATCCTTCCAATGCCTGGGAATAGGATCCCAGCCTGCAGTTTGTGGCGATGGTAGTTAATTTTCAGCAGCTAACTTTGCTGTGTGAACGCTCTTGTGACATTTGTGAAATTTGCTTTCATCTTCTTCCTTTCCAACTAAGCTCACATTTTTCATCCAAGCCTTCCAGGAGGATCACACTCTATGCCCCACTTTCCACCCTGGGAACGAAGAGGCTGGAGTTCATCCGTGCTGTTCTGAAACGGTCAAGCAAACCAATAAAGCACGCAGCCAGGCTGCAGCCCATGAACGCCTCTGCCCACATGCACATCTTCTCTCCCTGCAGGAGCTGCCCTCCTGTTGATGATGCTCACTTGTTCTCGCCCCTTTTGCATCAATGCATACAGCACAGTGGCTTTCAGCTTCATCAACCCAAGGGCAACTACAAATCTTCCAGTGGGAATGCTGTCGTAGACTGCCGAGTGGCAGAAAGGAAATTGCTTTTCTTTGCAACTTTTTGATGATTCCGTGCAAACAGATGGTGGACCCCATACCTCAGGGACTGCACATTGAAGCCACCACCTCACTGAGTTGGTGAAACCAACAGAAATGTGTCATATGGACCCCACAGAGCCCATCTACTGGGAGAAGTCGCAGCTGGCAAAGAGGAGGAAGAAAGAAGTGAAAATATAGGCACAGAGGATGGACCTCAAATTTCTCAGTTTTCATCTCACTTCCCCTTCCCATTCTTTAGTCATCATATTCTTTCCGGAAGAAAGTGGCTGTTGGAAAACAGAGAGAGAAGACGACAAACACTGCTGTGGAATTATTTAACGAGCCAGAATGAATTGCATTTGAAATCATTTAAATGGGATCTGGGAGTATTTAACTGCAGCACAGGAACTTAACAAGAGTGGGAAAGGATTTTGTGCTAATTGCTGGCAATGATATACCTACGGAGAGAGAACATGCAGCAATTAGTAAGCAAGGCTGTAATTTCAGCCTAAGGTCCCTGCCTGCCTTGGAATATGGCATGGATTATCTGCTGAAAGGAAGACAGGGGCCTTGGAATGCATGTGACCAAAGGGCAGCAGATGAGGTTCTCATTAAGAAGTCATTAGCCAAGATTGTCACACAAGAGATGGGTCTGCTCAGACCCCACTGCACCTTTCCCAACCTGACTTGGCTCAAATTGACAAAACTGAAGGAACCCCAAAGCCCCATCCCAACACCTGCTGTGCTGCTTTGTCCCTTCCTACCTGCAGGGACTGATCCTGCCATCAGCCCTTGCTCCAAGCTATGAGTCTACGCAGAGCACAGTGGGCTGAGGACCAACTTGACCATTGCTTGCTGGGCAAGGAAGCCAGGGCATCCTTGGTGCTTCTAGGTTTGGGAAGCAGGGTGAGCAGGAAGCTGAGCTGGAACAAGGACCTGTCCTTCCTACAGAAATACCCATACAGTCCAGACTGTATGATGCCACTGTTCCGAACCTGC